TGGCCTGCTGTGTTCATCCAGCTCTACACCTTGTTATCTCTTTTTCAGTCTGCACAGGAATGACACCATGGATGGATAGAAAGGAATGGATGTTAGACATCTTGTGAGCTGTGAATAAACGTTGGAAGCTATCAGCTTGTAGCAGATTGACAATTCCATTGATGCCATTTTATAATTTGCAGCCTGCGCAAGTGCTTTAATAAGATTCAGACTTCAAGTGGAAGGATGACAAATGGAAGTGCCTTGTGTCTCTATTCTTGGGGGAAGAACAATTACTACAAAAAGCTACCCGAAAGTCAAGTGGGAAAAATGATGAGCATGACGCAGCCAAGTTCCCCTTGATTTTTTTGTCCACAACCTGGACTTATAGAGTGTAGCATTCAGCTCCCTCTCCATTTTTACATAACTATTTTTATCCTGATTGTAATTAGCAAGTACCACAGGAGATAATCCAACATTTATAAGTGACTACTCAAATGCATTCTTCACTAATGCTTTGCAGAGACTAATGAATGCAGTTGTTGAAATTAATTAACATTCTTGTTACAGATGAACATTGATGCCCAAAATAGGCAAAATGCAGCACTTTCTAAATTAATGGATAATTTGGACTTGGAAATACTTTTTATAAATTAGGTAGTTCCTGGGGGTTAAGGGAGGATTTCCCAGGAGAAAGTATTTGAAATTTGAATTCAAAGTTCCTTTAAACAAAAGAAGAATGTAATATTAATTGGGCTTAAGCACAAAGTAGCTTTGAATGTAACAACTCAAAACCCTCCTCGTGGAATAAAATGTCAGAAAGCAGCAAATAAATTGGTATACAGAGGTCAGGAACTCCACCATTTAAGAGGTGCCAAAACACCTACAAAATCTGTACATCGCACATTAATGAAAACTGAAAGCTGAAAGCCTATCGTGATTCAGAAAAGATGTCTCCACAAGGCAAGTACTAAAAAAAGGACAATCCCCATAATCGCTAAATCACACTGATCAATAGTTGAGATTGCAGTGCACCTCAACCAGTAGTCTTTTCATTATATTAGAAGATGTTAAGAACCTCTGCCATCATAAATGAATAAATAGCGAAGGCAAAGACACAGGCCAATCAATCAAATTGTAAAAACACAAAAGAGTCTGATTCTTATAGTATTTTACCAGACATTATTCAAAATATTTACACACAATTTAACTTTGTATACAGAAGGGTTTAATATTGCTGTTACTGCATTGATCTGTAATTTAGATAGCTGTAACACTCACAGGTATATTATCACACTTTGATTATATCTTATTCATAAAACTAAGCTTTTTGAGTTTAATAGTAAAATATAAAATGTATAACCAAGGAATGTATTAAATATGATTAACAGAATGAAGCAGCTTCAAATCTTAGTCCAGTTATGATGAGACTGAAAGTCCCAAACAAAGGATCAATTCCAGGATTTATCCATGAACAAGTTAAATTTGGCAATTTCTACAATATCCAGACACATCATACTATACACATGTACATGTTACACAAATAGAAATGTTCATAGTTTGGCAATCACCATACTTCAAGACTTTAGTGCACTGTGTTGCTTTGCAAAAGAATATTTCATTTCCTGTTTTCATTGAACATTGGCAGGCACTTCAATCACCCTCAAATCTTCATTTAAGACTTCAGCAAAAATATCAATAACTCTGACAATATAGGAATCATTTGAAGTACAGCATAAAAGAGAGACAGACCTGGTTTATCCATAACCCATTAAGCCAAATATTTCTTTCTCCCTAGAGCTATCTTCCATCATAAGCAAACTGGATAAATCAAAAGTTTTACATCGTGAACCCAAATTAATTCAAGTGGAAGACCCCTTTAATTCCTAAAATGCCCATTAGACTGATTTACTGTTATTGATGCATATGATTTTCACTTTGCTGGCTCACATTTGCTTGCATATATTGTTACTTTCTGAACATGCGTTATGATCGTTAAAAATTGCAAAACATTAATATGAACACATGAATTCAGCACTTCAATCACAAGTTGTTGACCTGGCTTTTAAAATTCAATTCTTTAGAAGACATACCTACCTCAACACATGCTGAAATTCGCTCAGCACATCTCCTGTAACTGCACTCTGAAGAAACCACCTGAACAACAAAAGACATCAGCACATTCCAACTTTAATCAGATGTTTCTCAAATCAAATGGCTTCCTACTTAGAGAATCAGAAAGAAGTGGTTCAATTAAACTGCACACCCTTTTAGCTATATGCATGCCCATAGAAAGAAATGCTTAAAAACTCAGACAGTTAGTGTTAGGGTTAGGATTAGGATTAGGATTAAGGCTAACCATAACCTTAATCTTATCATAGGATGAATATGAGTTCCCTGCACCTCTGAAAACCTCCTATGACCTTCACTATCTGAAGAAGTACATACGACTTGATGCTAAATTTAGGAATATCGAGAGAAGTACAGCATTACAAGGCAAAACAATAAAAGGGCTTTCTTTTCCTCCATTCTACACCAGCTTCAGGGGTCATTTTCAATCTTTTACACATTTTTGAATGAATAGCAGAGTTGGCCAGTGATTTGAAGTCTAATAAATGTCTTCCCAGAAGAGTTTGAATAAACCAGGTCAAACTGCTACTCCAAGAGAGAAAAACAATTGTCTGCGGTTTTCAAAAATCCCGGCTGGCTTGTCATTCAACATCATACGAGGAAAAAAATGCACTGTACCTTCCCAAAGGCAATTGTGCTTGGATCAAAAAGATTCCTGCATCATATCTTAAACCACATATTTCTTTGAATAAACTACATAAAAGAGGCGATTATATCTGAAATGTGCGTTGAAATACAATAATGATGCCTCCCTTTTATTAGATTAAAAAAAGCTGTTCTGACTTTTCTAATATCTTCCCTCATAAAAGGAGAAGTATGTGTTGAAGGGAATAACATTTGATAAAAGGTTTCCCCAGCCATAGCAAGAGGTTAACTAACTTACTGCTGCCCTGCCATTTAAACGTGAACCAGAATTTCCCTCTACCAAATCAAAAGAGATAAATATGTGCACGCAAATACTCCATGTTGAAAGCTACATAGGTGAAGAAGAGTAGGTTGCCTGCTTCACGAGCCCCAGTTAAAACTGGCATCTCAAACTATCTGCACAAGAAATGACTAACTCATGAATAGCTCAAATATTTTAAGTCTCTGCAAATATTTAAACCCACTGAACCTTGGAATGTTTTTCTTCTCAAATAACTGAGATTTACCAATTTAAGTGCTTACTTCCATGTTAAAAAGTGAAATCCTTCATCTGCTAGGCCAAACCTCAAATATATTAATATTGCAAACGAAAGTATACCCAATTAATTTTAATCACACTACAATTATCATGCCTCTTAATTATTGAAATAGTTAAAAAAAGGTACAATTATTGATGTGGCCTGTAAGAATATTATTCACTGAAAGATCATCTTAATCCTATACATTAACAAAGTGGTACTCCACCTGCAGCCCAAAACATATTTAGCTAGTCAGAGTGACAATATAAACTTTTATTTCCCCATTACTCATCATAGCTATCAAAACATATTTTAGAATAATAATTTTTATGACAGAAACAATTTGCATTTTTTTAAAAATTGTTTCTGTTTCATATCAATGCTAACTGTATGTGGTGTAAATCCAGAGCGTTATGGCCCAAACTAATTGTGCTTTGATCCAATGTCAGGTTGGGCCTGGACTCCTGGTTAGGGCTGCACTTACACTATAACAAAAAAAAATCAGAGTTATAAACTGACCATTTGTACAAGCTATGATTCTCATCTAAATATAATATCAGTAATTAAAATCCAATTTGTATTCTCCAAATCCTTAAAACTATCAAGTTTCTCACACTGCTACTCTGTTCTGACACTTGAAACATTTGGCTTTTACTACAAGAATACCTCAGAATGTGTTTCTTTTTCCTGCATTTTGCCATATTGACCACCCATACCTTTGAACTTGACAGTTTCAGTCTGCAATAAAAAGCAGCCATAGCAAATGGCTTGCTACTGTCACGCGTCACTGAAATGAAACAGAGCAGAATAACCTTTTGGAGGATGAAATATCTTTTGAAACTTGCACGCTTGGTTACTGCTAAAATTTATTTTTGATCAAGGATTTAAAAAAACTGTAAAGCTCCAATAGCCCACATTTACTCATCTATTGTTAATGGTATTAATTCAAGTTTGGATTGTAATGGATTTGACTGTGGGGGAGTTGAGTACTACTGCATAGATCATTAACAGTGTCAGCCCTCACAGGAACGTTACATCATCTTGTGACTGTACCCAATGCCAGTGAGCATCATACTCAATGTGCATTTTATTTAGTTTGCAACCATCATGATCTATTTTCCCATTTTTTTGAATCTTCAGTTTGCCAATATCTTTGCATGATTTATCATGAGAGAATTTACTTTCCACATTGCAATCAGCAACACTGTTTACTTGCTTTTCCAAAAATCCATTAGCCAAGTTGGTTTGTTGGCAATGTGTCTCATTGGTAAATATTTCCTTCTCCATTGTAGTGAATGCGCCTCCTTGGTTCGAGGGTGTAGAAGACAAAGGATCTGTGGAGGTCTGACAATATTCATCCATATCATCAGCCAAAGTATCCAAAAAACTTCCAATGGAGATGCCATCCAATTTATCATTTGGATCCTGTAGGCTGTTCCAGCTACCTCTCCTTGAAGTCTCCTGGCTTTCCACAAGGCTGTACATACTGCTGGTCAGACTGCTGCATCTGCTGGCAAGAGTGCCTTTTTCTTCCAAAATCCACTTCACTGCCTCAATCCCTTCATTAACAGCCATTAACTGGTGCATAATCTTGATATCAATCGTTCTTAGATATGCCTAATGGTAAAAGTGGAAAAAAAACTGTTTTCAGACAAAGTTAATACTCTTCTGACCAATTTTATTTTCAATAAATAAAATCAAGTTACTCCCAAGTACAAGTATTATGAATAGTGTACACTTTCCCCGGAGCATCCCAACATTCTTTATAAAGGAATATCCAATCTAAATGACAGTCATTCATGGCACATTTACATCTGGTATACATCATCCCTAAGGAACATTCAAATTAGAAAACTAACATTCAGAGTATTCTCTCTTCATTTGTATTCCTGCATTACCTCATTTACTTACAGGTCTAAATTTGCTACTCCTGAACAGGTCATTAAAAATGAACACATTTTGCTCATTGCTTCTTCTGTTCTCTGCTGGAGAGCACAGTAGAGTTCAGAAACTTGAGTCAAGTTCTCTGTACCAGAGCAACAGCAGTTGTTGTTGTCTTGCTGGGAAATAAATCTGTTATTCAAACTGACTGCACCTGCATTTATGGTCCTTATGATTAAGAGGTTAAAAAGAAATTGCAAAGCCCCAAATAACCTACAATTAAAGAGAACACACTTCCAGTTTAATGAAGTTATTTCAGGATTGTAATTTATCTGCATTTTAACTGAGAATTCAAAAGTGACTGTTTTCCACTGATCTGACAGTAATAATTACTTTAGGGAGATCATTACCAGCCCAGGAGTCCAGGTGATGTAAAGAATTTGCTTGCTGCAGCCCGAAATATCCAGGAAACTAGTTTCTTAAGTAGGGCAATTTGGGAAACCTTTAATTAAATCAGCAGTTAAAAAGAGGTCTTTGCTTAGATTGCTGAAAAATTCTCCCTCCAACCCATCCATTAGTTCTTGTAAAGGTTTTTGAGAACCAGTTGGGTTTTATGACAATTGTTTTAACCAGTTTTTCTAAAAATCTGGAATTTAAAAACAAACTGATTTCAAAAATTGTCAACTGCCATTTTGGAACCTGAATTCATATTCTGGATTACTACTCCAGTAATGTAACTACTAAACAACTAGATCCCAAAATGGGCAGTTTTGAAGGTTGTTGCTGGTGGGCGGGCGTACGCTTAAAAATCCACAAAGTAGCCTTCCTACCAGCCAGCACACTGTTCCCAGTCTGTCTGAAATGTTACAACAAGTAGCAGTATTGGACAGCTGGCCCGTCCTTGGGCCTATCGAGATCCTTAAATCACCATTGACTGACAAATAATTCCTGCTCCAGTGATATTTAACCAGCAGGAGGGGAGGCAATGCATGACATAGTAAGCGCTGGTATTGGGCAAGGTGACAGGAACTTGGCCTTCTTTGCCCCTATGCGCATTGGAGGCACCTGTACCCCACAATCCTTAACCCACAATCTAGCCTCATGAACCCACTCCAACTCTTTCACATGCCCATCTGAAACCATGAACTAACGTAGGATGCTTGGTATGCTGAGATCACCTGCAGTCCCAGCTGCTGCCATTGCTCCCACTGGTGTTGGTGGGATGACAGATCAGCTGGTCAATCCAACCAACTAGCAGCTTTTCAAGGCATGACTTCCTCGCAAGACAATGGCAAAGGTGTCACCCTAAAGTGCTCTCAAGTTGCTGTGGAGCTACCTTTGGGACAGTGAGCTGGCTCCCCACAACATTTTAAGATTGGGGTGGGAATGGGGATGGGGATGGGGATGGAGATGGAGATGGAGACCAAGATGTCTTATAAAATTTAGCCCTCTAACTCTAGAACTGAACCACAGGCCTGATAAATGAGTTAGTGTCAAAAAAAACTCGAGGGATTCTCTTTCTGGAACGTACCGCCAACATATCTCCATAATGCTTGGTCACTATTGCCCATATCTTCATCAATAATCATAGCGGTTGGTGCCTGGTTGACAAATATGGTGGGGTCAACTATGAGGCGAATGATCATAGTATGTAGGGGTGGTAATGACCATTTAAGCTAATGTAGAAAACAAACTTTCTGCTACAAGAGTTAGATATCAAGATTCCTGTGGGATCACGCATTGATCCCTCTGATGTTGTCAACCTCCACATCTCTTATATCCGACTACACAGTGATACACCACAAAATGCTTTGCTCCTACAAGCCACCAATATCTGGGGATGGTCAGGATTTTGCCCCCCCAAGGCCAGGCTGTACTGCACGGTGAATCTTTACTGTCCCATAATGCTTTTGTTAGCTAAACCACCATAATTTCAACAACTATCTGCTCTCCACTCTAACAACATTCCAATTCAATGGAACACAAGCACTGATGATAGGTTCACTGTTGTTAATGACCTTGCCTGTCAGCTAATGAATTTCCAGCTGTTATATTGCCCATTTACCCATCACCTACATGTTCACTGACCCACAACGGCACCCAGTTAAAGGATAACCTCAAATTCTCATCCTTTTATTCAATTCCCTCTATGGCCTTGACTCTGTAAGATAGCAGTGCTCCTCCAATTCTATTCTCTTGCACATCTCCAATTTTAATTGTTCCATGATTGGTGGCCACACTTTCAGTTGCTAATGGTTCTAAACACTGGAATTCCCTCCATAATCTCTCCCTTCTCTCCTGTTTTCCTCCTGAAGAATTACTTCTGATAAAGCATTTGATCATCTGACCTAATATTTCCTTATGTGGCTCATTGTCATAGTTTGTCTGATAATGTTCCTACAAAGAACCATTTCACATTTCACCACGATAAAAGTACTACACAAATGCAGGTTTTTGTTCTTGTCACAGTGGAACATAAATCAGGAATGTAAAATGGGCCTGGTTATGTCATTTAAAACCAAAAATGATTCAGAGTATGCATTCAATATTCAGTCATAATGGTATATGAGGTAGCTCCACCATGTGGTAAACTTCTTCTGACACAAAGATGCCCAACAATCACAGAATCTGAATGTGAATTATTATTGCACTGTGGTTGAAATAACTGCACTTTGAAATAAATTGTTCAATCACACTGCAAGAATTCACAGGATTGAAATACATGAAATCTCTAGTTTACTGATAGAAAATTAAAATTTCCTTTTTGGAAGAGATCAAAACCGATAAAACTACAACTTCACTGACACCAGTCGCTCTCTGGCAAGTCATTCAATTGGCCATTCAGGTATAAGCAATATGGTTCACTGTTAAAAAGCACCAGGTTGCTTTTTACCCTCCTTACCCATGTGAAGTGGAGGCCAATTTTTACTTGCCATAACTGGTCTCATGACGCAGCTCATTTAGACAGTACTTTTGGATGTGAAATTAATTGGCTCAGCTTCAGCAAAAGGGGAAGAAAAGAACTGGTTTGCTTTCTCCTGTTTACTTCCCTTGCATTACAAATACAAGTGTTACATGGTTTTAAACCACTGACATCGAAATACCGATACCCAAAAATACACAGATGTGTTTCACTGTTCAATCTAAATTTCCCAAATTTCTCTCTCAAAGATAGCTGAAATTCAATGCCAAAAATGAAGTTTTAACCTGGCTATTTGTACTACACACACTATCTGCATATGCATTGAATAATAACAATTTTGATAAGCAGTTTCTATTCACATCTCAGGACACTAATTTTTTTTTTTAAAAGGCAACACTCCTGAACATTGGGAAAAAGGTTGCTACAACATAAATTCATACTTCAATCATTTCTCGCTTTGGAATAAAGGGAAAATCTTCTGAATGCCTTTTCAGTTGGCAACACAGAAGTAATTGTTTCTATAATATCATTTGCCTTTATTCTATGGAATCTACACCAGTTTGTTTGCAATCTGTCAGGGGCAGGCATATGAACCTGTATGATGCACAAACATTGAATCTTTTCTTTTCCCCAAATCACACTGAGCAATTTGGATAATGTGGGTAGGATACCATCTGAATGCAATGGCATAATCTTTTTGGCATGGGTTAGTCAACAGGTTTTATATAACCTAATACAACTTCTGGCAGTCTCTTCAAGTCCATCATTTTGTCTAGGATGCTATAATCCAGTGCAAACTAACTCCCTTGGAGCTGTTCCTCTCCACCACAAAACCTCACATTACCCAAAGTTAGTACATTTGCCCGACCCTGGATCGAGGCTCAGCAGATCTGAGGCCGCAAACCCACATTCCTACCTACACACGGACCCTACCGCACCTTCCTCAATATGCTGCTGCGTACTTTGGCTATGAGAACCACTAACCAATCCTCTGAACCCAAGCTCTCTCATACTCAGCCTAGAACCTGGAAAATTAACCACTGTCCCTTTCAAACTCACTCACTCACAGACAGATTTCCCTCTATGGAACAAAATGTTGTATCCCCTGTTGGTCAAAATCTAATACAACAAATACAGTCTAATTATAAAATGCATGAACTAAATCAGAACGATCATCAGCATCACTAACAGTAGCAACAGATCTGGAGAAATACTAGAAGCTGTTTTGCATCTTCCTGCAGGCCAGTTACCCACTGACAGCCAAATACTTTAGCATTATCTGCACCCTGCCATGTTAGTAGATTCTTAACAATACTGCACACTACAGCCCACCATCTCCCCACAAGTCATTAGGAAATCCTGACTAGGAATGCCACCAGTTCTAATACTCTAGCATATAGATCTATGCAATCATACAAATTTCTCAAACCCCTAAATTTGCAATATATCAGGAGTATACTATAGCATACACTGTGAACCCAAACTTGTTTTGCTTGCATAATTTTCAAGGATATGGGCATTGTACAGGAGAATTCCTGCTCCAATGTTCCTATAAAAGGGTATTTTCTTAATAATAGGAACATTAAATTTCTAAGACTGAAGGAGGGTTGTTCCAGGAGTGGGGAAAGAGAAGAGGAATGGGTAAATATCCCACTTCATTTCTCCTATGTCCCCAATAGTTTTGCATCCATCAACCTCTGAAACCCATTGTTTCTGAACCTACAAATTCTCTTTCATTTCTAAAGACTGCTTCACTTGACATAATTAGCTATAACGGAAATAACCTGCTTGTATACTGTAGAAATATTACAAAGCAGATGATTATTGGATAGGGGATTATACAATTTTGGAGTGATTGGAATTGTAAGAAAAAAACTGAAGAATGTGTAGCTGCCACGTCGAAAGGTAATGTTCATTTACAGTTCATTCAAACATATCCTTTGCTCCTGCACATTGGACACTACCAGTCTTATTGGAACATGATGCATTTAGTTTGAACAAAATCAGCATTGGTAAGAACACATCTAAAATACTACATACAGTTTTGCTTTCTTATCGGCGGGAAGTTTATATTCGCACTGGATGAAGTTTAGAAGGTTCACGGACACCTAGGATGAACACATTCTTTATGCAGCAAGGTGAACAGGTTGGTCCCTACTCCTTACAGTTTAGAAGGCTTTGAATCTTCTATGTTTCAATTAGATTCTAAGTGTGCCTGATAAGGCAAATCTAGGAGGATGTTTCTCTTTGTGGGGAGAATCTAGAACAAAGAATAAGGGGTTTCAAAACAGAGGAGGAATTTCTTTTCTCTCAGAGGGCTCTTAATCGTTGAAAGTGGAAATTGGGTTGTTGAATTTATTCATGGTTGTTAGAAATAGCCTTGATCCTCCAGCAAGTCAGGGTTATAGAGGGTGCGGGGGAGGGGAAGATTCTGAGTTGAGACCACGGTCAAAAAATTAGCCATAATCTTATGCTGAAAGGTTCACCCGGCCAAATGGTCTATACCTGTTACTATTTCTTATGTCTTTATTCGCAATGTTAGCATAAATCTTCAGTGAAATTTGCAGTGAGAGGGACCGATCGTAAGGAAAATGCAATCCCCAGAGACAAAACAGGTGGAGTAGGAAATTATAACTTTACAAATCGCAATGGGAAAGTTAAGTAACTTGTATATAAAATAAGTAGAGGCTCCAGTAGTGGCGTTAGTTCTGACCTTGAGTGGACGTTCATCCTAGAGACGAGATAGATACAGGAATCAATTCCGAGTGTCTATGGGTTAACTCAGATTAGGGCGTGGTTTAGCTTCAAAAGTCGCGAGTTGATAACTGACAAACAGAAATCCTCGCCAATTTAATACAGAATGGATTCTTCGCAAAGCTGACTCAGATCACTTATTCATGCACCTGACCTTTTATTTTACATCAGCCAGCAACATTAATTTACTTGAAATGAAGCGTTAACTCAAAGACCTCTTCAAATGTCATTATAAACTGACTCAGTGTTTCAACAAAAAAAGACAAAAGTCGCATTCGAAGCAGTTAATTATTAACTCAAATGCTGTGGAAAATGTTGATTCAATAGGAAACAAGTCCCATTATCTCAACAAGTTTTCAAACTATTGCACAGCGGAGAGAGCAAAGACCCCTCCTCAGAGTCAAGTACAGAAGCTTGAGACTTGGCTACTTGGGGTCCAGACAGTGTTCCCAATCCTGAAGGGAGTATTTCCTTTAACCTGATAAACAAACAGTTGTTTTAATCAGTCTAAGTGAGACTGGTTTTAAAAATGAAAGAGTGGGTGTGAAACCGTTTAGCAACAGCCCTGCAATGAATGAAGGGGTTAATGTGAAGATTTCTCAGGTGACATCCGCCTGGGGGTTACAATTGTTTGCTAAAGGCAGCCGGTCAATGAGGGGAGCACCTCCATAGGTTTCAGGCAGTGCTCCCGACAATATAAGTATCGAACATCTACTTATTGCAATCTCCATACGAACGGCGTTGCCGGCGGAAATGAGATAGTCATACTCTACAGCCGACTCGCCCAGAATTTACCTGCAGACGCCAAGCTGTAACCTTTTTCAAAAAAAATTCAACCACCGCCCCCACCCTCACCATTTCCAGTCGGAGCATTCGGATCTTCTCGGCCAGACCCTGGGGCAGCTTCTTGTTCTGCCCGGGGAACAGCGCTGCCTGGTCCCCGCTCGGCCCAGCAGTGTCCACCTTCTCCCCGGCTAGCCGCGCTGTGTCCTCCCGCAACCACCGCAGCAAGCCTTCTGGCGTCTTACGTCCAACCTTATTCTCCAGATCCTTTAGATCCGGCAGCAATTCGCTCGCACTATCTTCCATGGCAAGATCTATAAATCGATGTGTTGTTCCAAAGGGATTCAGTCCGGTTAAAACCCAGCAGACTAATTCTGTTCCCCACCAGGCACCTTCCCTAAGATGCACATTTCCCTACAGAGGCTCTGTATTTCCCGGCCCCGGCGCCGCTTCACGCCAATTTCCACCTGCAGGCATTAGTGAATGAATGAATGAAGAGACTGCGGCGAAAACAGCTCCGGCTCAGTCACCCGCCCCTCTCTACCGTAATGGACAGAAACAAAGCGCCACTCAATACCAACCTCCGCTCACGCTGCCCTGTGTCATCCCGGGATAGCGTTCAGAGGAGGCACAAACGGAACTCCGCCGTCAATCCATCTGCCGTTCCAGTCCCAATGTCACCGCTAAACCTTCTTCCTTTCCATTTTGTGAGTGAATGCAGCACAAGGGCATATGAAAAGGACACAGCCACCAACAGTTCGCAGATTTCAGGTTACAGAGCAGGAGGCCATTCAGCCCTTCATGTCTGAACCGGATTTTCTAAAGAATGTCTAATATAGTGCTATCTCTTGCCTTCTCTCCATAATCCTGCATATTATTGATCTTCAAATAGCTGTCTGATTCCCTGTTGAATACCTTGATTGAACTTACCTTCATCAAATTCTCAAGCAGAATTCGAGAGCCTGCCTGCTCGTGAAAGTACCTTGGCTTCTTTTTTGTTTCCCGGTTAATTTAAACCTGTGTCCTCTGTCTCTTCGCAAGTGGGAACATTTTCTCACTGCTTACTCTGTCCAGACCTCACGATTTTGAACACTTCCAATCAAACCTCCCCTCAACTTCTCCAAGGAAAACAGTCGTTACTTCTCCAATCTAAATTTTTTCCGCACCCTCCCCAGTGCACGCACAGCCTTTCTAATGTGTAGCATTCAGATTTGGACACAAGGCTCCGGCTGAGTCAGAAAAAGCATCTCATTCAAGTTTTGGGTCCCTTTAGATAAAGCGGTCCTGCTATCTTTAATGAACATGTATATTCCCTTTAGAGTTGTACCCTTTATATTTTCCCTCCATGTTCTACCTGCCAAAACCTTTAACTTCCCTGCATTGGACTTCATTGACCGCCGCCTCTGTCTATTCCATCAATGTTTCTATGTCCTTTTGAGGTTCACTACAATCCTCCTCTCAATGAACCATGCATCCAAGTATCATATCATCAGCAAATTTTGAAAGTGTGCTCTTTGCACAAAGGTCAAGATCATTAATATGTGTCAGGGAAACCCAGGGGATCCAACAGTACAAACTATAGCCAGCCTGGAACTCGTCCATTAACAATTTCCCTTTGTTTCATTTACTCAAAAATATTGTATCCATGTTGATACTGTTTCATTTGTTGAGATCTAACTTTGTTCACAAGTCTGTTGTTTGAATTGTCTCTTCTAGAAGTCATGTATATTACATAAACTGAATTGCCCTCAAGAACCCTCTGTTACTACTTTTTAAAAAATCGTGTTGTGCTCTTAAGAAATTCCCTTAAAGTGCCACTGAAAATGGTGGTTGCCCCAGGATTGCAGTGGGCTTGTACCAGAGGATTGATAAGGGATCCTTTCCAGCCAGGTTACAGGGCTGGGATGAGATTGCCGGGAAGGAAGAGGTTGACAATGGCTGGGTCGTGGCTTCTTATGGGTACACTCTCCCTACCCTTTCCAATTTCAGGTCTCTCAATCCGGCACAGGATAGGGTTACAATGAGGACCCGAAACGTCAGCTTTCCTGCTCCTCTGATGCTGCTTGGCCTGCTGTGTTCATCCAGCTCTACACCGTGTTATCTCAGATTCTCCAGCATCGGCAGTTCCTACTATCTCTAACAACAGTGTCAGGATGAAGCCATTAAGTTGCTCTGAAGTAGCTACTTAAGATCCTCAACTGGTGTCAAGAGGAATGGCCAACTGCAGGCATTCCTGGACTTCAGTGGAGAGAGGTAGGAAGGTGGTGGAAACTCAACCCCGCACCCTCCCACCTGATCATATGGTTATCTCCTCCCTCTCACATTTTTTCTCCCCTCCCCTACCCCTCTACTTTACTCCTCCCCCTACTGCTTCTGCCCTGTTCAACCTTCTCTCTCGTCCCCTTCCATTCCCAGTCCTGTCTTATATGTGACTCCAGACCCACAGCAATGTGATTGATTCTTAACTGCCTTCTGATATGGCCCAGCACACCTCTTAGTTCAAGGGCAATCAGGGATGATCAACAAATGCTGACCTTTTCATGGATGTCCCTGTCCCATGAAAGGAAAATGAGCATGGAATGATACAGTATACAAGAATGTCATTTGACTCATCGTTCTTGTACCAGAGTGAATCTATTCAGTTTATCTCATTCTTCTGCTCTTTTCCAAACATTTTCCCTTCAAATATTCACCAAATATCCTTTTGAATGTTTACTATTGAATTAATTTTCACCATTCTTTCAAGTGATACACTCCAGAGCACCCCTCACTTAGTACCTATGATTAACAATGAACAGGATTTGGAATCCACTAAGTGGAGCTATGTAACGTCTCAGTCAGACAATGGAGCTGGCACGATGACGCAGAGGCTATTGTCAAGCATTACAGCTTCTAATATTAATGAATAGAATAACTAACCTCAAAGTGCTATTCATTAGATGCAGGTTTTACACAACCTCTGTTGGTTAATTTTGTGTAAATATTGAAATATAAATATTGAACCCTAAATCATTGCTGATGCATTCACCGAAGCATAACGGAGAATGTGCTTTAGGCTAAACATCTGAAAGACAAAAGTCCTCTGCCAGCCTGTTCCCATTGTACAGGACTGTCACTAGACCTAAACTCAACCCTAATGTGACTGTCAAGATCTATGGCAAGCCTCTGGACAATATGAATCACTGCTTCACTGGAACAACATTAAGAACGAAATTCAACATCACCTCCAGTGTGCCAGCACAGCCTTTAGATACCTGAGAAACTGAGGGTTTGTTAAGAAAGACCTCAAACCTGACATTGAGTTCATCATCTGTGGCAGCGATATTACTTACATTCCTGTGTGCTTCAGAAATATGGACAAGGCACAACATACATCTCAAATCCCTGGTGAAATTTAACCAACGATGACACCACAAAATCCTGCAAACCAATGCCACCATAGGCAGTCCAAAGAGCACAAAATGAGATTTGATATTTGAGATGTCAAGATGCCAGGCCTGCTGAGCTTTTCCAGCAACTTTGTTTTTGTTCCTTTCGTCTTCAGCTGCTTCATCAATGATTTTTCCTTTATCATAAGGTCAAAAGCAGCGAAGTTCGCTGGTGATTGCACAATGTTTAACGTGATTTGTGATTATCCCAGATACTGAAACAGTTGTGCCCAAATGAGCAAGATCTGGACAATATCCAGGCTTGGGCTGACATGTGGCAAGTAACATTTGTGTTGTATAAGTGCCAGGCAAGACAAGAGAGAATCTGATCATTGCTCCTTGACATTCAATGGCATTACTATCACTGAATTTGTCACTATCAACGAATTTGTCACTATCAACATCCTGGGGTTACCATTGACCAGACATTGAACTGAACCAGCTGTACAAACATTGTGACAAAAGCTAAGAATTCTGCAGTGAATACCGCACATTTTGGGTTCCCAAAGTTCCTCTCCGGCTGATACATCATCTTTTTGCTGCTATTTTGTGAAGGATAAAACAGAGTTAATGTTTTGGGTCTGGTGACCCTTCCTCAGAACTGAAGATGTTTGGGCCTAGGACACGACCCTGAGGAATTCCTGCTGCAATATCCTGTAACTGAGATGACTGACCTCCAACAACCACAACCATCGTCTTTTGTACTATATATGACTTCAATCAGTGAAGAGTTTCCCCCTGAATTCCCGTCAATTTCAGTTTCAATGGGTTCAAGGACTCAATGGTCCACACTCTGTCAAGTACTGACTTGATATCAAGGGTAGTCACCCTCTCGTTCCCTGTTGAGTTCAGCTCTTTAGACCACATTTGGACCAAGGCTACAATGAGTCAGGAGCTGAGTGGATCTGGCAGAAACCAATATCAGTGTCAGTCAGCAGTCTGTTGTTGATTAACTGGCACTTGATAGTGCTGTCAACTATACTGTCTATCATTTTATTGATGATTGAAAGTAGACCAATGGGGTGGTAACTGATTGGGTTGGATTTGTCCTGATTTTTGTGTACAAGACATAGCTGGACAATTTTCCATACTGCAGGTAAATGCCAGTGTTGCAAATGGATAGGAACAACTTGGCTAAGGACATGGCTAGTTCGGGCATAAGTCTTCAGTATGATCACTGGAATATTTTCAGGGCCCATAGCCTTTGCAGTATCCAGCAACTTGCAGTTGTAATTTGATGTCATACAGGGTGAATCAAATTGGCTGTAGATTGGTATCTATAATGCTGGGAATCAAGGGAGGAAGCTGAGATGTACGGCAACACTTGTTTATGGAGTGATACACAAAAATGAATTGGTGACTTTTGACTCAGACTACCACAGTCATCCGTGAATTTATTGTCCAAAAATGTTATCAAACTCTATTCAGGATCTTCACTTGCATAAACATTAGGCTTGTTGCTGCATTTCATAGTGGCAAGTTTTCTGCTTAAAAAACATGGAACCAATTTTGACTGCACTACTTTAATAACATGGATTCTGCATCTTGGTGTACAAGTTTAATATTTTTGTAAACTTTTCACCAGTATATAACTTTTGGTGAATGCAAATTATTTTTCAGCTTATAATTCTTTTCCTTAATTTCACAACTTTGAACATCAAACACTTCCTTTCTAAAATATAGATTATGCTCAAAAGCAATTTTCATAAGTTTGCTTTAAAACTGTTTAAAACTGTAGAGATAAGTATTAATTTAGTGCTGATGGTCAAGAGGTTAATTTTTAGTCTGGAGATGATTAAATTGCACAATTCTAATGACTTACTGCATAGCCTAAAATATTTGCACTGATCCATCAGTAACTTAATGGAGCTATTCCCTGACAAAAATCTCTTGCTGGTGTCAGCCAAACAACGTATCAAAATCTTTTGTATCACACGTGTTGGGTCTCCAGAGGACTACTGAAAGATGATGGTCATCCTGCCAAGAAAATAAATGTATAATTACTTTGATAAAATGCTAAAAGGAGAAAATAGTTTACGTTTTATATTCTTATTGCCTTTGTGACATTGATAA